TGCTATTATACCACTTCATATCCATATAGGAAAACATATTAAAAAAAAAAACATTTAATTAAAAGATTAGTTTCTTTCATATGGGAATTTCTGAATTTCTTTAAAAACATGTTTAGCCGGTAAGATAAGATAAGAGATATGATATACTATATTATATTTTATCTCAATCAATTGTTTTATCAACTTGGTAGGATAATTTTATTTTGTAGTGAAGTGATTTATTAATTTAGTGGATGACTATGCAGGGATATGAATAGGGGTAGTGAAGTGGGAATTTAAGTTCTTTCAAAAAGCACGGCAGAGCGGATGAGTCAATTTAAACGTTTGAGTTTAAAAATTAAACTCGTTCCGTTTAGTAACGCGCCAATCTAATAATTTTTTTATTTTACAATTTAATTTATTAAATAATTTTTACAAAAAAATATTTATTATTAAAGAAGTTGACAAATTTTTTTTTAAGAACGCATAATAGAACTTCAGCCTAAATAGTTCAAAAAATAAAATAAATAAAGACAAATTAAAAAAAAACGAAATAAACTCAAGCACAATAAAAAACGTATCAAAGTAAATAAATAAATAATACATATCATCTTAAACTTATTTAAAAACTAACTACTAAAATAACCCAATTAAGAATTTACAAAAGACAAACAATGATAACAATTACATTGCATAAAACATCACAGTGCATAAAATAGTAGTGCATAAAATATCAACACCTGACTTTTTCACCGTTTACATCATATAGACTCTTCTATTGGCTGATTCCTTAATAGTTAAATTATATATTTGTCACACGTATACACTAATCAAATTCTTCCCTTTATTAAAATCAACATCTATTTCTAAAAAAAACATGTGAGCTAATGTTTGACAATTTAATAATTCAGCATGACATAAAATTGTTCTTTTATTTTAAGTTTTTCCAATCAACACATGTATTAGAAAGTTATAAAAAAAACGTTACAATTATAATTCATTTTGTTTGTATAATAATTTATAATACAATTCAATCAACATAAGTCAAAGAGAAGAGTGTTGTTTTTATAGTTAAAGTTGTTTTAATTCTAAGTAAAAAATTTTTTAACAAGAAGTTCGTAGGCAAAATCTGTCCCGATCCGCTTTTTCAAACGGGTTAGGCGGGGCAGGTCAACTTAAAGTACCGAGCCGAAAACCTCAGTCCAGCCTGTCAAAAATGGCGGGTCAAACGGGCCGACTCGGCGGGGCCAATCCGTTTTGTCACCCTTAAATATGAATATGCAATGGTAAACATGATTTATTAGTTTCGAGTATAATTGTAACAAGTTGTTAAAGCAAGCGGTTCATAGATATATAATACTTTTATTATATACACTCTCTTTGTTTCTTCTTTTTTTTTTTTTTTAAAGTGTTATATTTTTCTTTAAAAAAATTATTTTTTAATTTCAAAGTTTAAATAGTATTGATTGGTGTTTTATTAAAATTACTTTCAGTCAGAGACAAAAAAAAATTAAATAAATTCATACTAGTTAAGGAAAAATTAAAAATTAATCATTATTTAAAAAATAATAATAATAATTATATATAAAAAGTATAAAAATGACACTTAAAAAAGAACGGAGGAAGTATATAAATACTACTCTCTATTCTTTTTTAATTTTTATTTTTTGACTTTTTACACATACCAAAAAAAGGTAATAAATATTGTTACTTTTCAAACAATAATTCTCCTTTTATCTATAATACTCTTAATTATTTAATACATTTATTTTTTAATAATTGCCTAGGGGTAATTGTGACAAAAGTGCAATTAATATTAACTTGAATTTTGCAAGTGACAATTAAAAAGAGACAAAAAATTAAAAAGAGACAAAAAATTATCAAGAAAGTGACACTTAAAAAGAAAATAGAGAGTAATTATCACACAAAATTCCATATCAAATATTTTTTATCATATACATGTTATAAATTCATGAACATTCAATTTCCGTATATGTGTTTCAAAATGATAAGAAACGTGGAATGATGTAAATGCTAATAAATGTAAGGGAAATAGTCTCACATATAAAGATTTACTCACATTCAAAGTCTTTATAAAAAGTTAAGAATGTTAACTAAACAAAAGAACAAAATAGGATAAAGTGTCACATGTACAAATGTGGTGCTCCCAAATATTATGACACTTGTCTCCTCCATACACCACTTGTTAGTGTCGCCACCGCTCCGACTCTGAGATCGGGTCTGAGGGCGTGAGCATAGAGGTGCTAGTGGCGGCTTGTAGGCGGCACTTGAGCACTTAGGCATGACACAAGAGCAATCATGCTACAAATATAATTTTTGTCAGTTTTGCACAAATTCGATATAAGACTAAATTTTCTGCGTATTCTTGCGTTCCAAATCTAAGACATATTTGAGAGTGCTTGAAATAATTTTAAGAAAAATGATTTCGTTTACAATTCAGTCCTGGATCTATTCAACTTTACCGATATTTTTAACGGTATCTAAAGTATTCAAATAATGGCTTCCGACGCTGCATTTTCAAGCATCAAAGTTATGAACCTTGTCAAGTTGGATCCCTTTGATGGAACTAACTACACCTGATGGCAAGATAGGATGACATTTCTACTGGCCGCTCTGAAGGTTCATTATGTCTTAGATCCTAACTTACCACCAACTCCCGAACCAACTGAGGATGACTCTGATGAAATCAAGAAGGAGCGTAAGAAACGTAAAGAAGACAAATTGCTATGTCGTGGACTTATCCTGAATACGTTATCTGATCGTCTCCACGATCTCTATGCGGATACTCAATCTGCAACAGAAATCTGGAAAACACTCGAGGTTAAATTCAAGGCCGAACTAGAGGAAGGTAAGAAGAAGTTTTTAATTTCTAAATACTTTGATTTTAAATTTACAGATTCCAAGCTCATTCTTCCCGAAGTGCACGAGTTACAGGTTCTCGTGAATAAAATAAAATTTGTGAAAATTGACATTTCTGGGACCTTTCAAGTTGGTGCAATCATTGAAAAATTACCACCTTCGTGAAAAGCCTATAGAAAGAAATTGTTGCACAGTTCTGAGGACTTCTCTTTAGAAACAATTTAGAAACACCTTTAAATCGAGGAGGAATCAAAGGAAAGGGAGAAATTTGAATCAACTGGTCTTTCCAAAGCCAATGTTGTGACCACCAAAAGAAAAAAGAAACATGATGGCATGGAGATTCATCTTGGACCTAAAACGGAACATATACGCATCGCTAACCGGTGCCCTCGGGTATTGATTATATCTTTTTTTAATATAAATTATATTTTTTATATTTACTGATTTTTATTAATTCTATTTATTTTTCAAATTTTAAATATAAACAAATGCACATCACCGACGAGTACTCGTGTAAAGGCACGAGTATCCCACTAATTATCACTCACAAGTTTAACGTGAAACAACAATAAATAAAAAAAAAAAATAGAATATAATTACCTACAAGGAGATTGACCACCTGTTATGCTCCATCTTACCGAAACTATTAACCTACCATTCACAATAAGGGTGGACAAGTGAACAAGAAACTCTGAACCGTCCGATATCCGATCTAACACTTGGAAAAATAACAATACAAACTGGTCTTTTGGAACCGGCTGTTCTTCAGTTGAAAACTTTCAGTTTTTAATGGCTTTAAACGGACGAGTATGGGTGCAGCAAATGGATCCATAGTAATGCAGTATTGACCGACAACAAAATTTTTAATTAGCGTCACAATATTTTAAGGAGTTAACTTTTTAAATAAAGTATAATTTTATTTTTCCAAACGACATAGTTTAGTGGAAGGGATAGTTTTAACCTAAACTGACTATCATTTTTCATTCATCAACTATCAACACTTCAAAAAAACATTGCCTAACTTTACTTAATTGCCCTTTCCTTTAAAATAAATTACCCTTCATATTGGACACAACAGTAATCAACTAAATGACAAAATTAATCTCTTTCATAGCCCTCTTGTCTTGCCATCTGTCAACTGTCTATAGAATGCAACACAACTTTTTTTCCCTCCTCCCCACAAACATCTGAACCTTGAGTTACCCATGAAACTGTCTATACTCACACGATTTTTTTCCCTTCTCCCCCACAAACATCATCAAACTTCTGCTATCATCAAACTCTTCTGGTTCGTTTTTTCTCATTTTTTTTGTTTTAATGTTACCGATAATCAATATGAAATCCTGTCATGCGTTTTTCTGGATCGGCTGATATTGTTTTGCAAGTTGACATTGTTGTTTTACATGTACCAACTCATTTTTAAGTTGTATATTGTTGATATTCATACATATATTCAAGTACCAAGTCACAAATATGCATACATTGTAAGTTCTTTGGTTTACACTATTAAATATACAGGTTGTTTTCATCAGAACATGTTTTCGTTAATATATTGTTTTTGCTTACATAGAAATTATTTAAGCAGTTGCGAAGTTGTAAGGTATATGAATACTGATTAATGTTCATTCACCTGAGCAATTTATTTTCTGTTATGTTTCTAAGCAACCATGTCAAGACCCCCAATACTCATCAAGAACTTGGAGAAAGGGAAACAGGTTTGGAAAATGCTCATTAGAGTTGTTGATCTTTGGATTGTGAAGGAGAAAAGTAGACTGCATCATTTCAAAATGGTGATTTAAGATTCACAGGTAACCATTACCTGCTCTGTTTCTATATTATTATTGTTCATTTCCTTGAATGTTTACCCATTTTGTAGGCTGATCAAATCCATGTCACAACTCGGAACCGTGAGTTTAAAGACTGGTCGGAACAGCTAACTGAACATGAAACTTATTGCCTTTACAATGGAGAGCCAATGCCTAATGATGGCACTTTCAAAGCTTTCCCCAACAAGTTGAAACTTGTCTTCAATGGATGAATGACTGTTTCAAAATTTCCAATACCCGAAATACCGACACACCAATACAAGTTTAAGCCGATTGTCGACTTTCTCACTGGAAATTTCATCACTGATCTCTTATATGGTGAGATGTATTCATATTATACATATGGTGTATATTGCTATTTGTCATACTAAATGCATATTGATCTAACTACATATGAAAACATTATCACCTTTTCTCATTCTCATATATTACAGATGTCATCGGGGTTTTACAAGATATTGTCAAGACGCAAATGGGCGGTGGTGGTAAGAAATCATGTGCCAACATCACTAAGAGATGGAGCTAGAAATATTATTGAGGTTACGTTATGGGATGATTACGGTAAACAGTTCATGAGCTATAATAGCTCCAACAAGTTTCCCGGACCAACACTCATTGTCTTAACACACCCATGGTGCCAGCAAAATCAAGGTAACAAAGTTATTGTGATACGCATCCAAGTCTATTGGATTATAATCAGTTTCTCAGCTCTTACTTCTGTAATTTACATTGGTTAGTAGTTATGATTGTGCATTTTCATATTTATATCTTTGTTTATTAATTTTAAGGCTATTCTAATGATATTTTTGTTCTTCAAAGAACTGACTCTGCATTTTGTAAGTATGAATTACAGTGTTCTCTTTAGAAATTGATTAGTCTTGCAAGCTTAGATGGAACTTGTCTAAAATTATAATGCTACCATCATTTAGTAGTAACATATGTAGGAGCATGTCCATTATTTTTCTCCACTGATGTATCATCAATCTTACCACTTTACCATTCTGACTTTTGTAATTCACAAATTATTTTAAAGATTTTTGTGTTCTTGAAACATCTGTCTACTGCATTTTGTTGGCATCCATTGCAGTGTGCTCCTTTGAAATGGATGACTCTTGCAAGCTTAGATGTATTAATAGGACATAACTAGAAAACAAAGTGATAATGAACTTGTCTCAATTTATAATGCAACCCGTCCTTTCAAAATGATCCCATGTAATACAATTTCAATTAGTAGTAACATTTGTAGCAACATGTCCATTTTTGTACCAGCATGTTCAGTTATTAGTAATATTTTGTCTCAAGTTTTTACAAACAACATCATTATGTAATATGCATGTTATATTTATCAATTCAATAACTTAAAGTCTGAATTTTGTCAAGCAGCATCTGGATTGCCTAGCCTATCTAATGCATGGAATGAATCAAGACTCCACATCAACTTGGAGCATCCCCAAGTTCTCGATTTTAAAACCAAGTATGTTCCTACATTAAATAGTTAGTTACTTGTCTATAGTTTTGCTGAACTCAGTTTACTTTGATTTGATTCGTTATCTTTGTTTTTACAAAAAATTTCCAGGCTAGGATCCACACATTCAGCTGCTGCATCAACTCATTCTATAACCCAGACTTCTGAATCCTTTGTGCAGTCTGGCAAAAAAAGTTGGACAAACTCTAATGAGGTCAAAAGTATATGTCACATTTGTGAAATCGGCAAGGTCTGCTTTTAAATTATCGTTACAACCATAATTATTTCTTGAAATATCTACCAAGTCTTTGTGATGTCAAACTAGGATTGTTTTTCCACAACCATTGGCACTACCAAGAGATTTAAGGCGTTAAAGCATGGCTGGTATTTCGAGGCTTGCCCCAGTTGTAAGACATCAAACATGTCCACTGGCCCCAAATTCACATGTGTTTGTGGAGTCAAAGATGTTGAACCTGTGACAAAGTAATACTTCTATATCACTTTTATAATTATAACTTTGGAACTTGTTTTACATACTTGAACCACTTTTGTTTTCATGGCATAGATACAAAATCGAGGTAGAAGTCGAGTTTGATAATCATGCTGGATGCTTTGTGTTTTGGGATAAAGATGTTATTCCATATGTTATTATGACTACTAGGGAATTGAGATAAGTAATGAAGGAGGTAAATACATTATTCATTTGATTACTATGTTTCTCTTATTCATGGTTTTACTCACCTACTTTAAATTTCTAATGTGATTATTCATCAAGGCTGGAGAGGATAACCCAAACATTTATCCCATACACCTAGACAAACTTTTGGATCAACAATTTGCATTTAGAATCAAATATCAATCTTTTTTCGATCAATTCTCAATTGTTACAATCCTTAACAATCTTGGTGTTTACAAAACATTATCTGAATCCCTTAAACCGGATGAGGTACAATTTGGTTGTGGAAATGAACTCATAATGCGTAAACTTTAAAATTTATCATGTTTTGAACATAACTGATTGCTTTCAATTTGTGGTCTTATGTTTTGGCAGCATACCTCTAAGGCTGCCTTTTTGAAAACTAATACAGGGCATGCTATGGATATTGAACTTGAACCAATTGTATGTATTCTTTCTTAACATGTTGAAAAACTTCCAGTATACTATTTTGTACTAGAGGCATAAGATATTGACCAGTTATTTTTGTTTTGTCTAGCCAACCCAATCTTCTGACCAACACTACAACACACATCCAGAAATTTCTGCCACCCAAACTTGCAGTCCATCCACTTGCTCTAGCAACACCCCAGCTAAGAGGGCCGCTATTCCTACTTTTTCTGATGATTTTTTGCAAGATGATGTCCTGACTCCAAAGAATTCGGCAATCAAGGTGAAGCACCTCAAGAAGGAGTGACTCTTTACTGAGTACCTCATTTTGTGTTAGATTCAAATATTTTGTTAAGATCATTTGTGTAAGAATTCATTCCAAACTTCTGCACAACTATGTTAACTACTATTGTTGAATTCAATCTTATATACTCCCTTATGCACAAAACTATGTATTATGTAATATGCCTCAGACATGTTTGTTTTGCAATCAATGATATGCTGAATTTGGTCTCTTCATTTTTGGTATGAAACTTACACTGATGCCTTGACCATATAAACAGGTTCATTTGAAACACAATACAAATTGTTTTTGTTTCTTTGGAGACAAACCAAATAACTGATCCTCATCTTACTTAGACTTATGAATTTCAAGTCTTGATAATTACAATGTTTCTACATGATTTTAATCACCAACAAAAAAAATGTCTTTCTATATCATTATCAATTTGAACTTGTGGAACTTATAAGAATTCATCTTAATAAGACTTTCCTTAATCCTTCTATTTTCAACTGTGATTTGTCATATATTAATTATATCCGATTCTAAAGAGTCTGCCAACACAAGTTCTTTATTTTATGCAACATCAACAATTACTATGACTTAACATTGTATAACTACTGAATACTTTGCTTGAAATTTTTTTTCCTACCTGCATCACAATTTGTTTATGCATCCTGCATCAACAACATGGCAGCATCATTTCCTTGAATGCATTATAATTGAAATGTCAACCCCCATCAACTCATTTTTTCGATAACTTCTTTGGTCATACTTTTGTAATCTTTGAATAGTTACTTTTCTTCCCATTTCCTACACTAAATGTTTTGGAAAACAAACCAAGTTACATTACATACTATTTGGATGGACTCATGTCCTTTAGTTTTTCCTTGATGACACTCAATCAAATCAAACTTTTTTACAAATCCTGCTGTACTTTTTGCTTGGTCCTTGTGCATGGTATTAACATTGTTTTACAGCCTGTTAACTTTATAATAAATAAAGACAGCTAGCAAACTTCCTTATTTTTGGGAATACCTTCATCAACTGGTCAACTCAGAATTTAATTCCTACTGCATAGACACCTTTATGCACACCAGCATCCATCAATACTAATGTTGCCATGTTTGCTTTTCTGACATCATTAGCCTCTAGCATGGCTACATTATGGTAGACTCACAATGACATAGCACCAAACAATGTTGCTGCTACTGCATAATAAACATAATACTCACTTTATTTTATAATACTTTCTCAGCATCGTATTCAAGATATTTTTTTAAAACATTTTCTCTATACCTTACATTCACAGGGTGCTAGACGTGTAAATTATAGTTACCAACCAAGTACTTCACTTACATATTCATTACACTACAACTAAAACAACTAAATGAATAGACAGTTAACTATAACATGTTTATGCTTCAAAACATTTTATTTCCTAATGTACTTCTAATTAGGTGATCAAATACAGTGAGTTCTATGTCAGATTTAATCCCTCTTACCAAATGTAAATCACACACATGATTCCCACTATGAAGCATATTAATAGTGGCATAAAACTCTTACATGTATTTTCATTTTTTTTATTTGATGCTCTTGCTGACAGACATGGAGGTTGACCGATTTTTCCTATCAACAAAGTCACCAAAACGTCTATGTACTAAAGTAGTACTTGACAAGAAAAAAGAGTAACAAAAATTTCATTAAATACTACTATAAAATACATATTGAACTACTATAAACTACTTATGACTCTATTTTTTAAATTAGAAGGAGTATTCTAATTTCTAATACATCATACTCTATTTTTGAAACAATACAAACAAGGAAACTACGTGAGACCATCTCCAACGGTGGTTCTTCAAATTGGTTTGCCAACTTGGCATTGAAATTGTCAACAAAATATTGTTCCAGCTGGTGAACGTTCCTTGCATAAGCAATGGTTCTTCATTTTTTTTATTATTAAAATAATTATTTAACTTGTTGGTTTTATTTTTTTTTAACTTTTTTTATTTATTATAAATATAAGTTTGTTGCAAAAATTTATAACAATCCTATTTTCTCTCACTTTTATTTACTCTTTAATTTTAAATTTCTCTCTCACAATTTCATCATTTTATTCATAAATTATTATTTTTAATTTTATGTTTAATTTTAATTTTATGTTTAGTTTATATTTATAGTAATTAAAATTTAAATATTTAAATTATAATTTTAAATAAAATAAATTTAATATAAATAATATATTTAAGTAAAGTAGTGGGACCCAATATGGGTTCTTTGAAGTTGCACCATTGGAGTAAAAATTGAATAAGTTATTTTAAAAGAGTGGGTCCCACAAAAAACCTAAAAATGGGTTGCACCATTGGAGGTGCTCTGACATTCACTTATGAGAGCTTCTTTCACACACTTCCCCCTATACTATTTTCTTAAAAACCAATCCAGACAAGAAAAAATCAGTGTTATTTGCAGCATCTTATAAACATCCAACCAAGTTCCAAATTAGTGGGCCGCATTACTACATGCAAAAGGGAAATTTCATAGGAGTGGACGGCAAAGACAGCAGCTTATTTAATCAATGAATATGGCAAAGACAACAACTTATTTAATCAATGAATATGGCAAAGACAACATCTTATTTAATCAATGAATATGGACTATACAATTATTTTAGGCACAACAATTTGGCAAATTATTACTAAAAAAAATAGTCAAAACGATTTACATATTTTTCCTGCATCCACCATATTTCATCATAGATATATAAAGAAAAATCAAACAACAGAAGAAGAGTTGTACACATAACATTGCTTGGATGTACCTGCCTGTAGAGAGACTGCAAGTGTGAGTTTTTAGATATGATCATTTAAGAGCTATGAAGTTTACTCAAAGGTCCAAACAAGTAGTAAATAACTAGCACTTTTTCTGATCATAACATCAGGCTACACAAACAAACAATCCTTTACTGGTTTTCCATTTAATTTTATCAAATGGCAGAGATGGAGAAAATATAATTTTCATCGAGGAAATGTACTATGAAATAGATTATTCTTAAACTAGCCTCTTTTTCAGTTCTAGGATATCTAACTCACACAGGTATTTTGGCCCTCTGCAGATGAAAAACACATTTATTTGTGCCAAAATGTAAATCACACACATGATTCCCACTATGAAGCATATTAACAGTGGCCATGAAACTCTTACATGTATTTTCAGTTTTTTTATTTGATGCTCTTGCTAACACACATGGAGGTTGACCGATTTTTCCTATCAACAACTGCACTACTCTTTCAATAAGGTGAATATCAACTCTTAAATTTTTTTCCATGTTTATATTCTTTCTTATTTTCAGTTAGTTTCTTAATTGTTGACAAAACCATGACACATTTTTGCATTCGGTTTCACATGATACAACCAACCAAAAACAAATTTCAATGCATATACATGGTTAGAAATGACAAAACTAATGCTTAATTTGTCTTACCTTACACTACATTCTGAATTCTTGAGACACTTTGTGAAACCTTGGACATAACAACCCAATCTCATTGTTGTTACTACTTTTCAAATTGACAAAATTGTTACTCCCACAATCCCTTAGTGCCATGATGTCTGTGGGAGTTTCGGTTGGTATTTATACACACGGTTTGTATCGACCTATATTTATTCTCACCAACAAATTTTCCAGCGCAATTATGGAAATTGCTCTGTCTATATTAATGTCCACTGTTTGTTAGGTGGCTCATTTATAAATATATATGTTGCCTTAACTATGGGCCAACTCTAATATGAATCATATGCCACATATAACAATTAATATCTATTGTTGTTCCCTACAAAAACTTATGCTAATGACAAAATATCTAGCTTAGCTTTAACAACTCTCTTATTGATGGAATTCTCGTGTAATTTGACGGTATTCTATGTATTCTATTATGCAGTCTTTGGACATATATTGCTATTTTGAATCGGATGGATTATCCACCCACAAATAAGCCAGCGAAAAAGCAAGGGCACGAAGAAAATATGTTGTTCAACAAAAATGTTTGAAACGCTTACATGACACACGACATCCTGACAAAACATTTACTCAACAACT